AAATAATGACCAGTACTTCCAATTTAGACATTAAACTTAATTGAAAGTTGTTGAATCTTAAACCATAATTATGGATAAATTTTCACCAGATTGAAAATAATTACAATAATTTTTACCAATAATTGAAAACTGTTATGAGACATCAGGAGAGACGAGTAGTTGTTTCCATTGTGAAGTAACAGCTTTGAAGCTCTGGCATGAACTGTCTATGAACAGACGTCATTTAATAGAATTACATTTTATACTTATAACCTAGAATAGACCGGCAACATCGTTGCAGAAGCACAGCCCATCACGCTGACTGACGAAATTGGAAAATCTTTGATATTTTGAAATCTGGAGCAATAGAAGATGTTCGGATAAACCATATGATAGGCATTTTTGCCGGTGCGATAATTATTTGGATTTTGCCATGCGGAAATTGCAGTTGCTTAAGAGGTCTATCGGCTCTCGCCAAAATCTAAGCGGGAATCAATTGTTCGATTAGGTGCTCAAAATTTGTCTTGGTCCCCAACTGGCATGCCGAAGTATGCTATATAGGCCTCGTATGTTATACGTGCTTCCACGTGCTTCCATTTATAAAGTATTATAAAAAGTTTATCATGGATAACTATAGTACTAATGATATGTATAACTGTAACTAAATATAATAACTATATATAAATATAACTAATATTAGGGTCTAAGAATAATATATAAAGAATATTTGAATAAATCTTACACATCAGTTGCAAAGGCGCTATAAAATAAAATAGAAAATGTCATATATATATATATATATATATATATATATATATATATATATATATATATATATATATATTACAAATAAGGGATTTTAAAATTGATAATGTTAACAATTAGTTTTACGTTAAAGAAATAAATTTTTATAATTTAAATAATTAAAATTGATAATGTTAACAATTAGTTTTACGTTATAGAAAAAAATTTTTATAATTTAAATAATTAAAATTGATAATGTTAACAATTAGTTTTACGTTATAAAAAAAAAATCTTACTATTTGGTTGTGGCTGAACAACTAAAAATATAAAATAAAATATATATTACAAATAAGGGATTTTAAAAATAAATTGATTATGTTAACAATTAGTTTTACATTATTGGAAAAAATCTTACTATTTGGTTGTGGCTGAACAACTAAAAATATAAAAAATAAATCATAGCATATTAATTTAACTAATGAACTTAAATGTTGATTGAACTATTTAACGAAACAAACAAAAAATTACCATTCTGCTGTTGTGGTTCCACTAAAAACAAAATTGATACAACTAAGATGATTATTTAAAGATTAAAAAAATTAAAAAAACCACAAACGACAAAAAATCAAAAACTTACTTATTTGAACAATCATATCGTCTGAAGCTTCTAAAATTTGAAAAAGGTTTATTAGAAAAACAAACAAACATTGCAAAATGATAAATCAATTAAATATTAAAAAATAATGCTTTACCGGACATGGTTATTCTTTTTAATATAAATCTAAACAAAGGGAATAACCTAAAACAACTAAAATATAGGGATAATAATAAAATATATTATAAAATAATAAAATAAAGGAAACAAACTAAAACAAACTAAAAAATTCTAAATAAAAACAGAAAGTCATAATAGATCTTTAATCTATTTATAAACAGATAAAACAGATAATAGATGAAATAGAAGACAACCATACCGTAGCGTTGGAAAGCGTGACAGAAATGTTGGTCTGCTTTCGATGCTTTATATCGCGATGTTTTAGCTCCGTGTCAAAAAGCACAAAGGAACACTACCAAACCGCAAATGTACTAATTTATCTTTACCACAATCCCGCCCCCCTTGACACACTATTACGTTTTGGAATAACCCCCTCCCCCATACCTGCATACGTATTTTGCAGATGACTCCTAATGATTATAAGGTTTTTCCTACAACATTTGGGGCGCTTTGCGGTTAACATCTCCCATTAACAGTTTAGGAGATAATGAGCTGTAAAAAAAGTTACCTCGATAAAATTTAAAAACCTTTTTTTAATAACAATTATTTATCTGGCTTATTTTTAAAATCTGCTACTTTTCAAACAAACAAAACGAACTATCAAACATAGATCATCTAGGTCATATTTTAAAAATCCTGAAAATTGTTTGCTCAAATATACGAAAAAAATCCGGAAAACTTTTCCATTCAAAATTTTTTAGCTGAATTGTATGTCTTTTTTTTTTTTTTTTTTTTTGAAAATTTCCTTTATTTTGCATGAGTGATGTCTAAAAAATCCTAAATAATCAAATATATTACACAAATATGTACTTAAACATGTACGTATGGAAAACCTTTTTTTATATCCGGAAAGACACTAAGTCTTGAAAAATATCCGAAGTTCCTGGAATATTCAGAAAAAGATAATCCCTGATCAAAACCTTTCCCTCGCAGCATTAACCCGAATGTGATAAATTCAGTGAAAATCACAACCCAAAAGAGCATTATTTCTTTATGTCATATACGACAGAGAGTCATTAATAAAGTGCTTGCATAAACTAATTAAAGAATACGAAGTTAACTAAAAATATTTTTTATAACATTTTTCTTCGTCATAACGACAGAGAGTCATTTATTAAAGTGTTTGCATAAACTCATTAAAGAATACGAAGTTAATTAAAAATATTTTTTATAACATTAACAATTTAACAAAAAAATGAGACTTGTCAAATTTGTTTCTCGCATACATACGTTATCCGACAAATCTAAAAAAAGTAGTTAAATTATGAATTGCTATATTCTAAAAACGAAAATACACGAAATAAAACTAAAACATAATAAAATGGAAAGGAATTAACTGTTTTTGGTTACCTGCTATCACTTGGGTGACATGTATTTTAAAGAGCTAAGACTAAAAGATAAGAAATCAAATCGAAATATGAAAAAATTAATAAAAAGTAAAAAATCTTTATTCTTGGCTTTTAGTGAATGATTAGAAGCAATGAGTTCCAGTAATGAAACTAACTAAGAATCATTTTTAACGATAGACACCAACGGGAAGGTAAGCCAAGCTGTCTATCAACACAAAACAGCACAACAATAACGTAACAACGATAAGGGATCTTCCATAAATTGCACAGCGTTAACTATTTTTTTAAATATGCATGGGAAATCATTTGTCAAATTTGTGAGGGTTTAAATAAAAACTCTGAAATGGAACCCCCCCTCCCCCCATTTTATTTACCAAATTTAACGTTTGGTAATTTTAAGGAGGTATATACGGACACACAATAATAGCACAAACACAGCATTAGATATTCGACTTTTTCTATGATGGCTATTTAAATTTGAAATTAACATACTTTTAACATAAGAGCATATTTGCAACAAAAAAAAATGGCTGTAAATTTATAAAAACTATAAAACTGTTAAGTCAATGTTATAAGTCGTGATACAACTGGCTTTCCAGTAACAAAATCCGGCTTCCCAGTAACAAAAACTGGCTTCCCAGTAACAAAAACTGGTTTTTCCCAGTGTCAAAGACTGGTTTTTCCCAGTAACTGGCTTGCCAGTAACAAAAACTGGCTTTCCGGCAACAAAAACTGGCTTGCCAGTAACAAAAACTGGTTTTTCCCAGTAACTGGCTTCCCAGTAACAAAAACTGGTTTTCCGGCAACAAAAACTGGCTTTCCAGTAACAAAAACAATGAGTAAAAATTAAACAACACATCAGCATCAGGTGCCTTTGTCATTATTTGTAAAAATGTATTGTTAAAAATCACATACACAAACACAAATTCAGTTTAACTGATTTGGTGTTATTAAAATGTATTTAAAATTGCAAATGGTATTACAAATTTTGGATTTTATAGTCCTAAATAATTTGATAACAACTGTAATTTCATATCTATTTGTATTGAATGATCCTTATGTGTTTGCAACTACTCATAAGTTAAATCTTTAACTTTATAATTAAAAAATGCATTAAAAAAAACTATTCTGCCAATTGAGATGCATGTAAAACAGTTGATGAGTATATTAATGAAATTAAAACAAAGGTTGATGAAATGCCATTGTTTATAAGAAAATATTTTATTTAATGAATATATCAATCAAAACATGAATACCTTTTAAATAAAAACATACCTTCTAAATTATTATACATCATAAAATATTCTCATATAAGCAATTTATAAAAAAAAGTACAAAATATAAGAAACAGCAATAGCAAAGCTAATTATTTAATGAGAAAAATACATGTTTAATAAACAAATAGAAAAGAAAAAGAAAAATTGAAATAAGACATGATTCAATAAATTCGAAACCCTCTGTAGGGTATGGGTCCTGCTTTTCTTTCCCTGTAATTTTAAAATACGTCATAAGACAGGTCTGAAATAAAAGACATAAATAAAAATATCATTGTATGGTATAGCAAGAAAGAATATTTAAAATAATATTTAAATAGTTAAAATAAAATTTTACAACTACAAATTAAGAATATTCGAAAACATAACATTATCTGTGTAACATTTTTCACCTGTCATACCTTGAATAGGATTTTTATCAACTTTAAAAAACAAACTATTAAACGCCCTTGTTTTTGAACACGCTACATATAATTGACCATGAGAGAAACATGGTTTTTTTAAATAAACACCAACTCTATCAAACGTTTGACCTTGACTTTTATTAATTGTCATAGAATATGCCAATCGGACCGCAAACTGGCGACGTTTGAGAACAACAGGTAAATTAGAATCCGATGGAGCCAACTGAATTCTAGGAATAAATACCCTTTTACCTTCAGAAACACCTCTCAACACCTCTGCATCAATATAATTGTTTTAGAGAGCACAAACTTTCATTCGGGTGCCATTACATAGCCCAGCTTTAAGATCTAAATTTCTAAGTAGCATAATTACACAACCAATTTTCAATTTTAAACAATGAGTAGGCATACCTGAAGGAGTTAAGCTGTTCAAAAACTCAACAGGGAAATTATTTATTTCATTAAGATCGTCAGTCTATATTTGATCAGCACTTAAATAAGTTTTGACCTCTCCACTTAGACGTTCAAGCACTTCTTCATTGGTTGACAATGAATCCACATTAGTGGGTGTGAAAATGACACGTTTAGCATAATAATCTTGTTGAGCATCTCCAAATATTTTTTCAACAATTGACTCGTTCTCTCTAATAATGCACTGTTGCGGTATTTCAATACATTCTTTAAAAAGATCTTCCTCCTTGACAGGTATTGTTCCACTACCAAGTTTTAACAGCCATTCGGAAAATTCTCCTCCATCACGTACTCTCATATTTTCAGTTAATGTAAACTTCTGCACCCATTGCCACTGTAAAGAACATTTTATACATGATTCTACAACTTCAGCTGGTCGTCCTCTTTTCACAACAGGCAAAGTTTGCCTCAAGTCACCACCAAAAAGAATGGCTTTTCCACCAAACGGAAAGTTGTTGTTGCAAACATCTTTTAACAACCGATCGATTGCATTTAAAGCATGTTTGGGAATCATGGATGTCTCGTCAAGCATAAACAAACTAACTTGCCTTAAAAATTGTCCCTGAATAGAGTTAGGAGTCACATTACATGAGCTGTTATTCAGTATTGGGACAGGAAGTTTAAATAAGCCGTGCAGCGTAGATCCATTTGTAAGAAGAGTTGCTGCTATGCCAGCCCATGCAGCTGTAGCAGATTTAACACCCATACTTCTCGTTTCAGCAATCAAATAATTAAATGTAAACGTTTTGCCACTACCGGCTGGTCCATCCATAAAAAACAATCTAGAATGTTGATTTTCTACACTTGGTTGCTCATTCAATGCTGCAAGGACAGCATTACTTACAATTCAATTATATTTAAATTATAATTAAAATACAATCTCATTCTAATAGCTTCGTCAATTGATTGCTGAACATTATCATTTAAATTTTCTAGATTGAAATCTATGAATTTATCAACAACAGGCAAATTATAATCAGACAGCGTTTTACCACTTTGATTAATAATCGTTTCGATTTGACGAAGAGTAGCTTGTTCAGCTAATATAAATGGAACTTGGCGATGAATGAAATCCTCTATCATAAAAGCTTTGTGTGTATTCCAAAGATGCAAAGGGTCGTCAGGTTCAAAAAAGGTTAAAATAATTGAAAACAGCTGTCTAATTTGCTTAGGCATTCGCGTTAAAACTGCCTCAGAAAGAGTATTCTGCCATTCAGTGTCATCTTGCAGCAAACCTTTTAAAACACATGCTTCACGAAAGGTTTCAAGAACTATTCCATTAACAGTACGCAAATCCTCCCAAGATGTTGCTCCTTTTGCTTGTAAAAGTAACAATCTGAGAAAAAATAATTCTCCTGTTGGACTAACTTTATACATTCTTACTATCACCTTATTTCCACCTCTTTGTCTAACCTTCCATTTACAATGTTTATCATCAAATACAAAGTGATATGGAATGTCAACATATGAGTAGCGATGGGCTCCTTCATTTTCAGAATTCAATTTAAACCAGGCCGTAAGGTGTGTATCACGATAAGCAGCACGATCTAAAGCCACTTGTTCTTCTCCTTCTCTAAAATGCACAATCTGATTCTCAGGTAGATGAACCTTAAGACGGATAATAGTGTGTGACATGACTTATGGGATACATAAATATTCGCAAAAGTGCTTCAGGCGCACTAACATAACGACAATCTAAAAAAGTGTTTACTTCATCGAGATTAACCTGTTCATTTATCAAAACATTAAAGCAATCATGCCCTTTGTATATATATTTGTACAAATATTTAACAGCCTTAACGGACATTGTTGCCTTTAATATTGATAACCAATCCATCATCACGACGCCTATATCGTGGATAACCATTGTGAGCGGTTACTGTGTTGGCACTAAATTCTTTAGGATAATTTTTGCTGCAAACCCATCTTTCATGCAGGGAGAATTAGGATTCAGTATCCCACATGGGCCGTGAATCATGCAAGTTTTAATAATATCATAAAGTTCACGATTAACAATCGGATCTGGAATTTCTGCACATATTAAATTATTAATATCCTGTGCTGTTTCAAGTTTATCATCATTGGCTAAAAGAAGTAAAATGTGGGCATGCGGTAAACTACGCTTTTGAAACTCAATAACCTGAACATGCGTTACAACTTTGCCCGATACACCATGTTTGAATATATCATTAAGGAGGTTATTTAACTTGAGTTTAAATACTCGAGTGACCAAATCAGGTCTATCATTCGCAGTCTGACCCGGATATAAATTTTCTGTTATTTCACGCCATTTTGGGTTGCAAGTAAAAGTAATAAAAAGATCTGGTTTACCATACTTTTTAATAATTGCCATAGCATCTTCAAAGTTTTCTTTTAAAGCTCTAGGACTCCCTTCATAAGATGATGGCAAAACTACTACTCGCCCTGGTCGAATATTACGATCGTTCGCAATGTTGTTAACATGTTTATGTAAGGCATCATACTGCTCGCTTCTAAGTTTGTTTTGGTTATTTCTATATAAAAGCAAGACGCTGGCCTTCAATTTTGACATATGCATCAACAGCATATTGCTGAAACAATTTCTTGCTATAAAATAATGAACAGAAAAATTGCTTAACAGAAAGTCTATAATTGTAGAACTGAGATAGTGTAACATGATTTCTAACCAGTGTGGCACGTTCAGGGTTATGCACCATATGATTATGCCAACCAGCATCACCTCTTGGGAAAAATAGACGATAAACCATAGGATCCAAGTTGAATGACATACTTGATACAATTTTTAAAGTACGACCTCTTGTGTAAATAATAACTTCCCTCAAGGTTGGGGGAGCACCATCTTCACCAACAAACACAACAGCAACTTCATCATGTGAAGGTAGATTATAGCGACGTCTATCACCCCCTTCAAGTAAAGACATTTTTACAACAGAAGCTTCTAGAGCCGCTTGATGAATTTCTTCATCTTCTACTTCAGACATGTTTTTAAATGCAAGAGCAAATGGACTTTGTTCAGTAATTATAGTTTGCAATTGAAACATTAAATCACGTAAACAAAGATTATTCCCACGTTGTTGCATTCTAAAATTTACTGCTGCAAGTGGATCATAAATATATAGTTGAGAGAATTTTGGTGGAATATCTTGATCTTGCCTAAGATTACCTACACGATGATAAATCTGGCCACATATTTTAAAACATGGAGGCCCATGATTCATTGGTTGAACTACATCTGCTTTAAAAGAAGCGAAAGAAAGACAGACATTATAATTTCGAATTTGTTTTAAAAATTGTCATTAACATTACGATCTACATAACTCCCTGTAAATAAATCCTGTAAAGCTTGTGTAAACGGTGAAAGTAGAGGCAAAGCTACCTTACCGTTATGGCAACATAGAAAATGTGTTTCATCTAAAAATTTCTTAGCACCACAGTGCTGACTAATTTGATTCATTTCTCCTATATAATTACAATCTGGAATAGCGTGACTTCTTGCTATAGAATACATTCTTTCAGGTCTAGCAGCATTTCTTTCATTTTGGAGATAATTAACCGCATCACGATTAAGCCTATTTCTTAACCTTTCAAAATTTGGGTTTAAATTCTCTTCAGCTCGTATAACAGCTCTTCTTACATTTTGCCGACGATTAACTTCATCTCGCCTAAGTCTGTTTCTTTCATTTCGTTGATGATTTTTTTCAGCACGCCTTATAGCACTTACATCATTTTGTAAATGTAAAACTTCATCTCGTCTAACCACCCTTTCAGCATCATAGTTTTCATTAAACATATTATTAAAATTCATCCAAACTCTTATCTCTTTTTGTACTACTCTAAATTGCATAATAAAGTAAAATAATTTATGTAATCTAAAATTTAAAATAAACAACAAATATATATCTTGCTTAAAATTAAAAGAAAAATTATCAAAACAATTATAAACATTTCCCCTTGTAGTAGCTACAACAATAAATCTATAAAGAGATCAAATATAAAATAAAAAACATATTGATAAACAGATAAAATAAATAAAAAATCTAGTATAAAATACTCAGGATTAAGTTCTCTCTCTCTCTCTCGCTACATATATATTTTATATTATATATATATATATATATATATATATATATATATATATATATATATATATATATATACATATATATATATATATATATATATATATATATATTAGGTTGACCGGAAAGTAATGTCGTATTTTTACGTCAAATTAAAACAAATAATTTTTTTATAATATTTATTTTTAATCAATGATATAATCACCCTCATTTTCCACAACCTTTTGCCATCGAGCGGGCAAACTTTCTATACCAGATCGAAAAAAATGTATTGGTTTGTCATTAAAATATCTGGAGATGCCATTTTTTAAGCAGTACAAAGTTTGAAATTTTTTGTCACTGTACGTGTAAGTGCTGTAAGGATCGGAACAAATGAAAATCTGAAGGGGCGATATCAGGTGAATATGGAGGGTGGGGCAGCACCTCCCATCCCAATTCATTAATTTTTTCTAGCGTCCGTCGTGCACAGTGCGGCCTTGCATTGTCATGTTGAAGAATGACACCTTTTCTGTTGACGATAGCTGGGTAATTCTCAACTAGAGCTTGGTTCACTCGATCCAATTGTTGACAATAAAGGTCCGCATTAACAGTTTGTCCAGGAATAAGCACTTCAAAGTGGACGATTCCGCGGATGCTCCACCAAACACACAGGAGCGCCTTCTTGGGGTGTAATCCCGGCTTTGCAGTACTGCGTGCTGGTTCATTTGGGGAGAGCCACTGCCTTTTGCGTTTTGGATTATCGTATAGGACCCATTTTTCATCTCCAGTGACCAAACGATCAAGAAACGGTTCTGCATGGTGCCGTTGAATCAATGCATTGCACGTGGTTGATCTGTTGGCTTTGTTTTGCACTGACAAGTTATGGGGGACCCAAACACCTGCTCTGCTGATTTTTCCTATCTGGTGTAAATGTTCTTGGATGGTCGACCAAGGTTGGTTAAGGGTGTTCGACAATTCTTCGATGGTTTGGCATGGATTTGCTTCAACTTCTGCCCTTAGAACGTCGTTGTCTAATGACATTGGTCTTCCTGGTCGATGGGCGTCAGAAAGATCAAAATTCCCAGATCTAAACTTGGAAAACCATCTTTGGCATTTGCGAACATCTAATGAACCTGGGTAAACATCACTAATGTTCTTAGTCGCAACTGTAGCGTTATTACCCTTGCGAAATTCAAAAAGCATACAATGACGAATATGTACTTCCTGTATTTCGTATGCCATTTCACTCCAATTTGCAAAGAAAACTATTTAATTTTAAATAATTTAGAAGTAAACAAGTCACACTAATATAAAAATAACCTGTGCACGTGTTCGAGATACACAATAAACTGGCCAACGATTATCGAATGTCAACATGCGCAAAAACGACATTACTTTCCGGTCAACCTATATATATATATATATATATATATATATATATATATATATATATATATATATATATATATATATATATATATATATATATATATAAAATCAAATAAAAAAAATAAATATTATTGGCATAATGCCATTTTTTTAATTTTATTTAAAGCATGAAAACGAACTTAAAGCTTCTTTTGTTTTTAATTAATTAACTTTTACTGAGCTATTTATAATAGCAAAAAAAGGGAATAAATGTGAAAACAAAATTAAATGCAGTTTCAAATTTTATATATATATATGATATAAACCTCTACAATTTTTATCTGTTCAACAACTGAATTATGATTAATCACAACTCTGGAAACATAAATTTTCTTTTAATTTAAGTCTAATTAAATAAACAAAGTATAAATCACAACTCTAGAAACATAAATTTTCTTTTAATTTAAGTCTAATTAAATAAACAAAGTATAAATAGAAATGGTAGGAAATGCTTACTGCTAGTATTTTAAGCATCTAAATAACTAAACAAAATAAACAAATAAAAATGTAAGCAAATGTTTGCTGCAAATATTAAGAGATAAATAAACAAACGTACAATATGAAACTTATATTTATGAACAAAATTAATTTATATCCAGTAAGTTATATTAAATAAAATATTTATTGAAAAGCCATAAAAGTTTGTGTGAAACCAAAGTCAATAAATAAAACATATAGTAAACAAAAATAAAAAATCGTTAGGACATCAACACACAACAAATCTAATACAAACGTTTAAAAAGTTAATAAAGCTTAATCTCCTTATCAAATTTAAGAGCTTACCTCGTGTAATTTCAAAAGTAGATTGGAAACTGTTTGCGTTAGAGTATTTTACAGAATACAGAACCGTTGCTAATATCGAACAATAGTAACTAACGGCATTCAACATTAATAACTGGACTATTCATATTTAGATTAATTAATAAAGTATTAATTTAACTAATTGAGTTTATTCCAAAGGTTTATTTGCAATCATATTCCATAATGTTAAATTAGTGATATTTTTTGAAAAAAAACTTTTTTAACTATGTAACTGATGTTGAAAATGAAAACATACTCGATGATTATACCAAATAAACTTGCCCTAAAAAATTTATCATATAAACTTTTTTAATTTTAACTAACACTCGCGATATTTAAGAAACTAAC